AGATGGTTACAAGGGGCACAATTAAACACATGTTAACACCAGGTTTAATTAAGTTCACTACCTGTGGTCCTTCTTGACTAAATGCCTGTTGTATTATCACGCCACATGATGTCCTAGAAAACCCCTCACACATCTAATCAAATCCTATTGGACTGTTAAGACTGAGACGCATTAACAAAAGTCTATAATAGGATTTCAAACCACATTCGAAGGCTTGGATTGGTGCACAAATTGAATTGAAGGGTTATAAATTGACATTTGGATTGAGCCTTTTCAGTAATGTTAGTTTGTGTAATGCATCTTTCTGTAAACTAAACGCACAGTTAAAGTCAATATTATTAGCCCTCATGTGATTTTTCTTTTTTAAATATTTCCTAAATAATGTTTAACAGAGCAAGACTGTTTTCACAGAATTTCCAGTAATATTTTTTTCTTCTGGAGAATTCTTATTTGTTTTATTTCAGCAAAAATAAAAAATAAATTATCTTTCATAAAATCAATATTATTAGCCCGTTAAGCTGTATATATTTTTTGATTGTCTACAAAACAAACCAACGTTTATTTGCCTAATTACTCTAACTTGCCTAACTGACATAATTAATCTAGCTAAGCCTTTAAATGTCACTTTAAGAGTCTTGAAAAATAACTAGTCAAATATTATTTACTGTCATCATGGCAAAGTTATTAGAAATGAGTTATTAAAACTATTATGTCGAGAAATGTGTTGATTAAATCGTCTTTCCTTAAAACAGAAATTGGGAGAAAAATATTCAGGGGGCTAATAATTTAGGAGGACTAATAATTCTGATACAATTAACTATAATTTTTTAAATCAAACTTACTTAAGTTTTCGATTAGATGAGACTACGGTAACCTCTAATTGGCTGTTTCAGCAGATGTGTGATCCTCGAAGGTGATCGATTTTGATATAAAACAAAAGGGGAAAGTTTGCATTCCTGGACCACTAAATGGATGACCATGAAAGGTTGCATTTATTACTGTTTAACTCCCATGTTTTAGCAGGTGTCTATTTAAATAGCCCTGTAGCCCGGGGGGTGGTTCCCTCACTGAGAAGGTCCAAAATTTGCCCCTTACATGAGCTCATTTGTCCTATTTTGACTGCTATTTCATAATAAATTGTGAAAATAACCTATCGACTAGGACAGGGGTGGCCAACCCTGTTCCTGGAGAGCCACCTTCCAGCAGATTTCAGTTGCAACCCATATCAAACACACCTGCCTGTAATTATCACGTGGTGTTCAGGTCCTAATTAATTGGTTCAGGTGTGTTTGATATGGGTAGTAACTGAAATCTCCAAGAAGGTGGCTGTTCAGGAACATTAAGACCCAGCAAAATAATCTGTTGGGTGTCACTTTGGTGTGACGTCGGCTGATCAGTTTATTTCAATGCTATTATTTTTCATCTAGCTGTGTAAGAAAACATATCTGACCTCAGTGAAGTATTATTTCGCTACTGTGTTATTGTTAAAAAGAGAAAACTTTCACATGTAACTTTTGTTCGAAATTGGAGAATATTCTTAAAACAAAAAATTACAGATAAAAAGGTGTGAAGCACCAAAAGCGGCCATATTAAGGTTAATTTAAATACTAATTTTGTTATTGTTGTTATCCATGAGTTTTCATTTATATTTTTTTTACAAGATAGGCTAAAAAAAGTTCCTCATTATTATTGCTATAAATTTGTATTATTCAAATGGCCAAATTCTGACTGAGGAAAGTTGAATGTACTGACCACTTGTTATTTTCCTTACAAATGACAATAGATTACAGTTTTTATTTTGAAACATTAACAGATTCCTATTTTTTTTTTCTAATGGCATTCTGTATTTTAAATCTTAAAATAAATGAAATATTTTGGTATATCAAAAAGTGTGGTTATGATGACCACCCGACTAGCTAATTCAGCTAAATATAGTGCTTAAAGTTACACTAAATGCAGCATTTACAGTAAATTTCAAAATTAAATTAAAAATAAGCAGAATGCACGCAAAAAAATGTCCACTTTTTAAGAAAAAAGAACTATCCTTTCCAGGCTAGCCACAGACCTGAAATACAAACTATGCATCTAATTTTACTTTTACATTATATGTATATTCACACACCTATTTTATACAAAAAAGTTTCCGGTCTAGATATGCTGGCTTTACACAGCTAAATGAATATTTTCTTGCATCGAAGTGATTAATGCATTCACAATGGTATCAAATGCTATTCATTCTTTTATTTTCTTTCGACTTTGTTCCTTATTTATCAGAGGTCGCCATAGCGGAATGAACCACCAACATTTCTGGTATATGTTTTATACAGCAGATGCCTTCCAGCTGCAACCCAGTACTGGGAAACCCAATTCACCTATAGCGCATGTCTTTAGACTGTAAGAGAAGCCTGCGCACCCGGAGGAAACCCACACAAACAGGGGGAGAACATGCTAACTCCTTACAGAAATGGCAACTGGCCCATCTGGGGCTCGAACCAGCGAACTTCTTGGTGGGAGGCGACAGTGCTAACCACTGAGTGACAGTGCTGCATGAACTGTTGTAGGGTTGGTTAAATGTATATCTATATCATCTATTATTTTTTTGTTTTATCTCATCTATTAATAGTAATTAAGCAAACTATTTCTTACTTTTTAAAAAGATGAACCCCACACCTTTTGCCGTCTTAAAGGCTTAATTAGGGGGACTCATTTTATTTACTACAATGAACTATATAAATATTTGAGTGAAATTACCTTTTTGATTTGATTTGAATTGATTTTCCTGTTCAGATTTACAATTGTGGCCAAATAAAGGGACAGTTCGCCCAAAAAAGTAAAACTCAGTCATCATTGTTTTAAACTTGTTTGACTTTTTGGGCTCTATTTTGACGATCCATGCGTAAAGTGCAAAGCGCAGAGCGCAAAAGCAATAAGGCCATGTCAAAATCCACTTTTGCTGTTTTAGTGATGGAAAAATCCGCTTTGCACCTTGGCGCATGGTCTAACAGGGTTGAGCTTTTTCTCTTAATGAGTTATAGGTGTATTTTGAGAATAAACCAATCAGAGTATCATCTCCCATTCCCTTTAAGAGTCAGATGTGTTGTGCCATGGCGCATTTGCTATTTACATGACGGACTTCGTAAGTGGAAAAACTGAACACTTCACTAGCAAGAAAACAGTTAAACAGCATCTACAGCGTGAGAATGAGAGATGAGCCTCCTCATTATTTACTTTCACTTTCACTCCTGTGGATAGGGAAATGTGTTGTACGCACACACCCATTAGCCTATACATAATTAATTTAGATTGTCAAGCGCAAAGATCTGTTTCAAAACTTTTTCTAAATTCACTTCTAATTTCCAGAAAATGAATAAATGAACAACAATAACTAAGTGTGTTAAAAAAACTGAGTTATATCCTAATACACATGCTGTGCCCCATATGGTCTAAAAACCTGACAAATCTAGACTTGTTTTTAATAATATATATATATATATATATATATATATATATATATATATATATATATATATATATATATATATATATATATATATATATATATATATATGCATGTAATAAATAATACTGCTGATAATGATAACATTATACCAAAGCAAATTGTTCTGAATAAACTGAAAAAGCCTCCCGAGATAAACAAGGCATGAAAGTTAGTTTTTTATATTTATGTAGGCTAGAAAATAATATGTTTTGTAATATTTTAATCCTTTAGATTTATATTCTATAGGCTATATATAATTATTATATCCTATATATCCTTAATATTTTAATTCTTTTTCATTTGTAAAGATATTTGCATATTGCTCAACATCCTGTATGTATTAAGCAGTTTGTAAGCGAGGCGCACAACTAACCCACTCTGCGCGGGACTTAAGACCGGCTTTGTTCTGGTCTATAGAACAGTCTATTATAGTTTCTTAAAATAGCAACGCACCAGCAGTGCGCCTCAACACACCTCCTTTTTTAAACCAGAACGCCTATGGGCGCACATAGGGCCCTCTATCTTCTGTTGAACACAAAAGAAGATATTTTGAAAAATGCTGAGAATGCTGAAAATGCTTGGGGCCACACAATTCCTTTATGTTGTCCCAACACAAATCAATTCATATTTTTTTATTATTATTATTTTTATTTTTTTACAAATTTAAATAAAATAATTAAATTGTCCTCCCCCAAAAAATCAAGAATTGTTGATTCGACTCATTTTAAATATGTTTTTATTTATGTATTTATTTATTTATTTTTGAGTGAAAGCAGTGAAAGCCATTGACTTCCATCAGTGTTACATCATTTTGACATAAAATTTTGATTTAGTTTAAGTCGTAGTCTTTTGACTAAAAATCCATTTGAGTTTTAGTCATGTTTTAGTCTTCTGAATCATTTTAGTTTTAGTCTATTTTCAGTTGACTAAATTTCATACAATTTTAGTCCTCTAAATCTATTCTGCTCAAATGTTGATGTAATTGCAGCCAATGTCTAATGTGGATCAGTTACTTTTCAAATCACACAAGATTAATTCTTATTAGAAATTTTTCCAAAAAACCAATCACATTCACGTCTCATTTTATTAGTCTACAAAATGTCAGTATTTTTTATTATAGTTGTAGACATCATCCCTTAATTTTTATTTAGTTTTTGTCTAATTTTCATCAGTAGAAACTTATGACGGAAATTTTTCGTCAACAATATTAACACTGACTTCCATAGTATATGTTTTATCTATGTTTTTTCATAGCATGTGAACATTTTTCAGAATATCTTGTTTTGTATTCAACAGAAGAAAGACTATCGTAAGTTTAAACCGTTAAGGGTTTGTAAACGATGTGTAAACTTTAGTTTTTGGGTGAACTATCGCTTTAAGAATGATGTCCCGACTGATTATAACTAAATGTTTTGTGCTGGCCATACATCAATACCAGCCTAGTGCCTCAGGAAACCTTCACATCCATGAAACCAACCGTGTTTCCTGTCTGATTTTCCAGTCAATAACGCCGGCGTGGGTTTGCTGGGCCCTGTGGAGAGCATCAGCATGGACGAGATGAAGCGAGTGTTTGAAACCAACTTTTTCGGCACTGTGCGCATGATAAAAGAGGTCATGCCGGACATGAAGAAGCGCCAAGCGGGACACATTATCGTCATGAGCAGCGTCATGGGCCTGCAGGGTAAGCTGGACATGCCAGGCTTTTAAAGGCTGACTAAAACCTTCTGTGTCCAATGGGACAATAGAGGCATTGAGCTGTGGAGCAGATATGGCACATATGGTTTGGGTGACTGTGGGAGGGCAGTACTGTTGGATTGAATGTTATGTTTGTTGAACTCTTCTGCAGGTGTGGTGTTCAATGACGTCTACACCGCCTCAAAGTTTGCCATAGAGGGCTTCTGCGAGAGCATGGCTGTTCAGCTGCTCAAGTTTAATGTCAAGTAAGTAGTTTTGGGATGTATGGAAAGTTAAAAAAAGGAATATATATATATATATATATATATATATATATATATATATATATATATATATATATGTATATAGAGGTAAATTAAAAATTTTAAGCCCTTCTGTGAATTTTCTTTTTCAGATATTTCCTAAATGATGTTTAACAGAGCAAGCAATTTTTCACAGTATTTTCTATAATATTTTTCTTTCTGCAGAAAGTCTTATTTGTTGTACTTCGGGTAGAATAAAAGCAATTTAAAAAATTTTAAAACCAGTTTAAGGTCTATATTATTAGTCCCCTTAAGCATTTTGTTTCCGATTGTCTACAGAACAAACCACATTACACAATGATTTGCCTCATTAACCTAACTTACCTAATTAACCAAGTTAAGCTTTTAAATGCCACTTTAAGATATATACTAGTATCTTGAAATCTACTAAAATATTATGTACTGTCATCCAGTGACATTCCAAGGGGAGCTCAGGGGGCTTAAGCCCCCGATGTATTGTTAAAAGATGATCTTTTAGAAAATGTTGCACTTCAAAAAAATTATTTGTTATCCAAGTACTTAAAGTTACCACATACATCATGCGCATTTAACTTAACGCAGTTTTTGTGTCGGGTATTTAAATAGTTGGCTGTTCAGCAGTACCTGTTTCTACCAGCAGGTGGGAGTGGGATTGTTGTTACACAGCAAATGTTTAAAAAAAAAAAAATCACACCACTGCACTGTTGTCATTCATTCATTATTTTGAGGAGCTGAAGATGATGAGGTCATCTGCTTTTAAGTGTGACATTAAGCAAAGCGGCTTCCGGGTCCAACCGCTATATCAAACTATATTGGGGAGACTCATCAAATGGTAATAATAAACATTTACAAACTGATGTATTAATTTTAAAAATCACGATCACAATATATATATATATATATATATATATATATATATATATATATATATATATATATATATATATATATATATATATATATATATATATATATATATATATATATACACACACACACACACAATTATTTACAATTTAGGTATTTGTAATGCAGCAAGCCCAGAGAGTGTTGTGTACACTATGGTTGTATTTAAAAATTCACTTCAATGTGTAACATTACTAAAAAGTGGCCATAAACAAATATTTTCTCTATTTAAATAAGAGGCAGCCTGGACCCAAAAACATTCAAATGTCACAGATACGTCACAACTTAACAAGCAGATAATACAACTGTTTTGCGAAACTGAACACTTCTATCTACTGTTGAAGCTTAATATATGTTTTCACAGTACAAAATGTGTGTAGTTTTAGTGAAATTAACTAACTGTAATCAATAAAATGTGCATAATATCAATTTAAATATGTGCGAATTATATCTAGAAATAGATTGCTAGACATATTTATCTAGATATGATATAGCCAGTCACATCTGTTTCTGTGATAGTTAAATCATCAAAGCTATATTCTATGGTAACATGCTATGTCAGTTAGCATCGGATTATAAAACGACTTTATTCTAATGAAAACACCTAAGATGGCTTGAAGAACACTTATAGACCATTTATTGTAACAGTCATGTAAATGATCAGTTAAAGCCTTTTTATTTTTATTCAACTTGTTTGGGACAAAGCCCCTTATCCCTTACGACCCTAGCAACGCCCCTGTTGTCATCATGGCAAAGATAAAAGAATAAAGGCATTATAAATTAGTTGTTAAAACGATTATTTAGAAATGTGTTTTACAAAATCTTCTTTGAATTAAAGAGAAATTTGGGAAAAGAAATATAGAGGGGGGCTAATAATTGAGGAGGCTAATAATTCTGACTTCAATTGTATATCTAAGTCTAACTTCAACTTCTTAATTTATATTGCACATTTAACTGCAGGTTAAATTGCCCATAGTGCTTTACATAACACATAGAAATGTACAATTTTCAATTGACAAGTACAAGCATTAAATTAAGAACATTCCACAACAAGCATTTCTTAGAAAATGTTTCGGGTGACCAAAATTCAAGGTCTAGTCAACATCTAAAGACAATGTTATTTTGACAACCAACAACAATGTCAAATGACATTAATATTATGTTAATTTTAGGTAACCAAAGTGACCAAAATCAACATTGAGCATACATCCTAAACTCATGTTGAAAACAAATACTGACATTTATTTAATATATATATATATATATATATATATATATATATATATATATAAAAACTGATGTTATTTTATTATTTTTACAGCAAATTACCAAAATAAAAACTGTCAGATTAAAACAGAATGTATAAATGTTCACTGGTCAAAAAATAAACACTTAAACAACACAAAGTGTTCCCTTTCTATTTTGATCAGTATATATATGTTTTTTACATTAAAGTTGCATTTAGAGGTTTAGATTTATATAAACAAGTGCCATTTAATCATTTAAGTCATTACAGTTGTTTTCAAAGAAATAGCATTATGAATATAAAGACAAATTGCAGTGGTTCTCCAGCAGAGGGCCAAAGAAAGCTTCTAGGTGGTCAGTAGATTACATAAAGATATGCAAATTAATGCATTGTTAATAAAGGGTTAGGGTTATATAATAGCCAGCAAGGTCTCTTTAGTTGTTAATTCAACTAACAGTTAGAAAATACGTTTTTATATTTATTAACCTTTTTTGGTGTAGGTGTTCACATTCAATTTATATGAACTATTAACAGATTCCACCTTTAATCTTAAAATCTATTTGTAAATGTGGTTAATATTATAATATAATATAATATAATATAATATAATATAATATAATATAATATAATATAATATAATATAATATAATATAATATAATATAAGCTGTAACACATTGTTAATTGTTAATTCATGTTAAGTAATTTTTTTATATATTGAATCATTTATAGTAATAAATAACAAATTATAACGAATTATAAATAATAAATAAAATAATTTTATTGTAAAATGTCATCAGTATATTTATAATTTGTCTAACCAATTTTTTTAGTCATCACATTATTTTTTATTCCTACATAACTATAGTCTTTTTTAAACAATACCATTCTGAATTTTTTTTTATATGTAACATATAGTCATCCACGCCAGAGTGGATAAAAAACATCCCCAACAGCACACAAGGGTTAAAGGGATAGTTCAACATTTCTCAGTTTTTCTTCCTTTGTGTTCAACAGAAGAAAGAAACTCATAGAAGCGTTTAAGTAAATGCAGAAATGTACAACTGCAGAGTGAACTATACCCTTTTAGTAATTTCTTTTTTCATTTACAAGGCACTAAAACACTCTGCACTCGGCGTAAACAAGTTTTTATAGTCTTTCTGGCAGTGCTAACGTAACATTCCATCTCTCTCCTCCAGATTGTCTCTGATAGAGCCAGGCCCGGTGCACACAGAGTTTGAAACCAAGATGATGGAAGAAGTAGCCAAGATGGAGTATCCTGGAGCAGATCCAGACACAGTCAGATACTTCAAGGATGTGTACGTCCCGTCATCCATTGACATCTTTGAGGCAATGGGACAAACACCAGATGACATTGCTAAAGTATGTGCCACAATTTAACAGTAAACTTTACACTGCACTTTAAACATTTAACACTAGAACCACCTGGGTAACGTTTTTCTGTGGCTGTTTTTCCGATTTACAATAATTTAAAAACAGCATTTGGGATGGAAAAAGTCAGCTATATCTGGCAACACTGTTGAGAATACATCAAACATCAAATAAAAATGCATATTTCTAAGTACTTCTTTGGTCCATTAAGTAACAAATCACTTTGTACAGTGTAAATATATATTAAAAACTGAGCCTTTATAAGGTCAAATGAACCTATAATGCCTTCGTTATTGCTGTTTTTTATAGCTACTTATGTTTTAGTGTTTTATGTTGCTAGGCAAAGCCTTTCACCCACTGAGATAACAGCAATCAGTTTTACTCTCAATCGAATAAATAAGGATGGCAAACAGGTATTAGAGGCTATAAATGCCATGAGTTGATATAAGGGGTGAGTGATCCAAATTACAGAAATTACAGACTAAACAGGGCCAGAGTGGGACTTCTTTTTTAGCCCTGGAATTTCAAGCTTTAGACCAGCCCACCTCTTAAATGCTGACATTAAAAATAACGTCATTTCCAATTCAGTTTCTAATGACACTATCACGTCTTTTTCAAGGAAACAGCTGCTTCAGAACTTCAAATGTTTTTCATAAATATGAGAACATTAAAGGGTAGCTAACATTATTCCAACATTATTCTTTAAAACACAGGTGTCAAACTCAGTTCCAAAAGGGCCGCAGCTCTGCACAGTTTAGTTCCAACCCTAATTAAAAACACCTGATCAAACTAATTGAGTCCTTCAGGCTTGTTTGAAACCTACAGGTAAGTGTGTTGGAGCAGGGTTGGAACTAAACTGTGCAGGGCTTCGGCCCTCCAGGAATTGAGTTTGACACCCCTGCTTTAAAACATCACAATGTCCTTTCCTGCAATATCTGAATATATATTCGGTGCAAAATTCTTTATAAATATCCCGTCCTTTTCAACGGTGGTCACAGAAAAAATTAAATATGTACACCTCTTAAAGTAACCCAAATAGTATTATATGTCTTAACGCTAAAAATAAAAATAAAATAAAAATACTGAAGTGAGGTTCGAACTCGGGTCTGCACCATCGTAACACATCGTATTGACCACTGGACCACTATGGTGCTATTATCCTGTGTTTGATGACTTAATCTTTTTCTCCCCTTTTCAAATTTCTGATCAAGTTATGTCAGATTTATTAATGTAGTTAATCGTCTGATTTTCATTGAGCAGGTGAAATATTCATTAACATTAATTATTTGAATTCTTATATTTACTAAGGTGGCGCTGTTTGGGGTCATCATTAACCTGAAGGCTGCATTTTGCTCTCGGGGCTGCGAGAAAATAAATAAAAAAAGAGCGGAGCTGCGGCAAAATGATGAATAAAAGGGGCTTTGGTCAAATAAATAAATAAATGAAAAAGTGTGACTGCTAAGAGTGCAAGCAGCTAAGGACACCGGCCCTTGCGGCCAAAATACGGACCGGCTCACTGGGAATTCTCCCGGTCCTCACGATTAGCCAATCAGGGCCTGAGACTAAAGATAATCATTTTAAGACCAGCAAGAACAAACTTAAACAAGAAACCAGTATCAAAAGCTAGTAAAGACACTTACATTAAACTATTATGTAATATGCTTTAGCAACATCTAAACAGCATGCAAATAGGTTAAGTTTACCCATACAATGACTCCTTGTGGTTCTGGTCAGGGGCGCCCCCACCCACGGCCACCCCTCGGTAAACTCTGGCCACCCCTGTGGCCACCCCAATGTAATTTTGCTGTTGACATTATTGATTTAAATGAACTTATAAATTTCCAATATTTAAATAAATAAATAATTAAAATGCAATCACTAAATTGTTGTTGGTGTTACTGACGTAGCTCTCCCCCTCTGGTTCAATGCTGGTGAAAGCAAACTGACGCATGCGCGCAGAAAACCATTCCCGCACACCTCACGCACTCCTGTGTGAATCCCGGTTGGTTGTTTGCATGCACGCCGACAAAATAGGCACCGCTCATGCGCCGTGAAACCGAAGTAACAGCCTTTTGTGCAGAGGTGTCGGCACGCAGCGAGTTTTGAAAGTCGACTAAAGTTTATATAATATGATGATGACGATGATGTTACTTTCACTAAGCATGCCTTTAAAGCAGAAAGGAGGGATAATGAGTCAGGGAGGTAAGACTTCATAACATGATTTCTCAGCCATGATCTGGTCTAAGACCACAAATAATTCTATAATACATTTTTTGTATTCTTTAGAATTGACATAATTCATTTTCATGCAAAAGGTTTCTTAAGTGATCTTGGCATATCACTCCAGTTGTTGTTTTCCAGTAATATTTAGGATTGATTTCTGTTATTTATTTAGAATAATAATTTTATATTAATATTAATTGTATTTATTTAGAATAAATATAAATAAATTGTTATATTTATTGAATAACAAATCTAACAATTCAAAAGAGGTGGGGGTGTATAGGGTGGTTCGCCCAGGGTTTCATTTAAACTAGAACCACCACTACCCTCCCTGATCGTTGTTGACAGCACGCACACACCTTCAATAGACAGCAATGGCTATTTAATATTTACCTTAAGCTACAGTATATCAATAGAAGAAGCTGCATTAAATGGCTCAAAAAGCAATATGGATAAATAATATTATTAGGTATAGTGAGTGTGTATAGTAATGCCTTTCATTCAGTTTGTTCATTTGTTTGGGTAATTAATAAACTCATTATTCTTTCATTCATTTTCTTTTCGGCTTAGTCCCTTTATTAATCCAGGGTCACCACAGCAGAATGAACCGCCAACTTATCCAGCACATTTTTACACAGCGGATGCCCTTCCAGCTGCAACCCATCACTGGGAATAATAAACTCATTAATCTTCATTAATTTTAAACATGGCATATACCGTATGCTGTACAATAAAGGCACGTAAAAAAGAAGTTATTTATACAGTATATGAAAAGTGTTTTTAAACTAAACATAGATTTTTATTTGGTTTGCACATGTACATGTTGAATTATTTTAAGGAATAAATAGCAATATTTCAAGAAGAATTAATTAAATGAATAAAAACTACATTATTTCATTTACCAGAAACAAAAATATAACATTACACTGAATTCATAATTTTTTTATGTGCCACCCCAAGATTTGGTGCGGCCTCTTCTGGCCACCCCTACGAAAATTTTCTGGGGGCGCCACTGGTTCTGGTGGGTGTGATTTTGCAAAGTAGGATGTGATATTGGGTCTACTGTATGTTGATCCTAGAATATAATCAATACCTAACCTTAAACCCAACCCTAACTGTAAATTATTCCCAAAAACAAATAATAGTTCGAAAACAATGATGTAGAAGCAAGGGTGTAGATTTGCTCTCGACATGGGTGGGGACATACAGTGCTCAGCATATATAAGTACACCCCTCACAAATATCTCATTTTAATTCCTATTTTTATAGGAATATTTGTGCATATGCATGAGATTAGCCAGTACTGAAGCCAAATCTGAAGCTTATCTAACAAAAATAACTTATGCCAATAGTCCAAAAACTAGTGTTAGGGTTAAAAAAATTGAAGAGAAACAAAGATTTTGTTGAAATTTTGTAGTTTATAATTTCCCCCCAATATTTTGCTTGAATTTAAATGAATTATCTTCCTGTTTCTAAAGACGATCAGTGACTTAAAACATTGTTTTAATAAATAAATCTGTTTAATAAATCTGTTTTGTTCAAATGCTCCAAAATATATGACCTATTTTCACTGAGAAATGGCTACAAATATTCATTTCCTAAAATTGGGTGTACTCAGTTATGCTGAGCACTGTACATCCCTATAGCGAATGGATAGAACAGAACAAATTCTCTTTCATGCTTTTTTAAAAAGCTTTAAACACTTAATAATATGAATAACAATTAATTAAACCCATCCCACGCTGCAAAAGTCAAATTACGTGATTAGGGAATCTGGCTTTGAGGAGGTATGAATGTAGAGTATAGAATATTGGGAATAGAGAGTTTTATCCTGATTAATATTTTTCAGAATCACAAAGACAAAATCAAAACTGAATTTCGATTAACTGCACAGCCTTGGTTAATATCATTATGTTGGACTCCAAGCAAACGTGACTCTTTGAAAACTAGCTACTTATGTCCACGTCTTGTACAGTAAAGGAAGACTGGAAAATGTCCTTGTTTTGCCGTAATTACAGCTGTAATTAGAGCATAAATAGTGGGGACAGTTCAGTAATTCCTGAATATTGGTGGGGACACATCCCCTCCGTTCATGCCAAATCTACACCCCTGTGTAGAAGTACATAACCCTCAGACCCGTTGCCAGCCTGGTCAAAGAGGTGGTTCTTTTTTCTCAAAATATGGACCTTACAAACCTTATTTTATATTTAATTATGAGATTTAAATAGATTTTAAACACTATTTTTATCTGGATTAGCTTGTCGGATAGTCATCATAACCACACTTTTTGATGTACCAAAAAAATTTCCTTAAGATTTATAATAAAGAAATATTTATTTTTAAAATACAAATTTATTACATCTTATATCATTAAAAAAAGTAACCCATTTTTTTATTAAAAACAAGCCTATTGTTAATTATTAGGCAAATTATAAATTACAAATTGGCCAGCACATTAAACTTTATTCAGTCAGAATTTTTTTATTCAGTCATTTTGCCGGCAGCTAGCTCTCTGCATCTCTCACATGGTCACCCACTGACGCTAAGCAGGGCTGCGCCCGGTCAGTACCTGGATGGGAGACCACATGGGAAAAGCTAGGCTGCTGCCAAAAGTGGTGTCAGTGAGGCCAGCAGGGGGCGCCCAACCTGCAGTCTGTGTGGGTCCTAATGCCCCAGTATAGTGACGGGGACTCTATACTGCTCAGTGAGCGCCGTCTTTCAGATAAGACGTTAAACCGAGGTCCCGACTCTCTGTCGTTAAAATTCCCAGGATGTCCTACAAAAAGAGTAGGGGTTTAACCCTGGCATCCTGGCCAAATCTACCCACCGGTCTCTGTCCATCATGGCCTCCTAATCCTCCCCATATCATAAATGGCTTTATCACTCTGTCTCCTCCACACCAATCAGCTGGTGTGTGGTCTGGTGCAAAATGGCTGCAAAATCATCTAATAATCTTTTTGTTATATGAATAAGGTCCAAGATTTAGAAATAAATGTTACTTGTAAACTGTTTTCTCTATTTTTAAACAATATAGTAGTAATAGATGACCCACTTATGACAGATTGTGTGTTTTCTTGCACAGCTGGATGTTGAAAATACTTGTTTGCATTGGTCAAAACAGATTAACTTAAGTCATGATAGCCAACACAGAATTCGGCTTGGTCTTAAAGCCTTTGCGATGGGTTATTTTCACTTTTGGGATGACATAGCAGTCAAAATAGGACAAATAAGCTCATGAATGGCACAAATTTTGGTTCTTTTGAACCACTCGAACCCCTCCTGGCTACGGGTCTGACCTTAATTGTAAGCCTAAACTGAACATAATCTTATTTTTTAATTCTGATCGGCTGATTGAAATGTTGTTCCAGGATCAACGAACTGTAGATGTTGATCCAGAAACATGTCCCACTCTGTGCTTCTAGTCTTAAATCTATTTAAATATCTGTACATTTTGTGAGTGTGTGTAAACACTAAATCTGTTGCCATTATTCACCAGTGCACCAAGAAAGTGATTGAAACCAGCCAGCCAAGATTCCGCAACCTGACCAACAGCCTCTACACGCCTATTGTAGCAATGAAATATGCGGATGAAACTGGAGGTCTGTCAGTGCAAACCTTCTACAACCTGCTCTTTAACTTCGGCTCACTGATGCACATATCCATGAGCATCCTCAAATGCCTGACATGCAACTGCCTGCGCAGACGCACCATATCTCCAGACTGAAGAGGGCAGCAGCGAGTCAAATTTCCCTCAGTTAAATCAGGACTCTACAAACGGGAGAACGCAAAACCTCAACAGAGTTTTCCACCATTAACACACAATATCTCTTTTCAGAAGGACAGCGTGCATGTATTGTGTTAGTGTGAATGCCGCTGTTCATCTAAACATCTCAGTTACTGTAAAACCAGTAGGCTGGTTAAGTTATTATCATGATGAAGTATTTTACATGTGCTTAACAATGATAAATGGAATCAAACAGTGCAAAATGACAGACCAGTTCAAAAGCTAATTGTGATGCTTATGATGTTCATGATTTAAGTGAGAAGTAATCACATAGCTGCCTTTTTTGTACTAATGATTCACATTGGAATGCATCTGATGTTTTATTTGGTTATTTTGTTTTTCTTTTTAAGTCTTTTTTTAATATTAACTTGAACATTTTAGGTGGTCTCGAAGCTCTATTTAAAGAAGTGTTGATTCGGAAACTGAATAACTCATGCGATCAATTTGCTGAAGCCTGGGTGTGTATTAAAGTATAGTTTGACATTTTTTTATTGATTATATGACTCATATTCTAATTGTGGTTTCATTTTCTTGTTTTGAAATAATTTATTAGCTCCTTGGGAGTCTTAAGTTTAGAAAGAAACTGAAAAATTTGTTACCACCGGTAACCACCAGAGGGCGACAGAATACATCAGCAGATTAATGCATTGGCACACAGGAATAATATGGGATCTCTGGTCTCGTTTATTACAATGGGTGTTTCACAACTGGAAGGCTGGATATGTTTTTTTTTTATGCTGGACATTTCTTTTGCTCTCAATTTTTGCACAATGATTTGTGGGTAACTGGAGGTTAGTCTAAACTTGATGCTTTCAAAGCAGATAGGGTGAGAATCAAAGGCTGCTTTCAAGGATACTTGATTCATCCCAGCAGGCACAGGACGTCAACATGACGTCAGATTGACGTTGTCCCCCTTACGTTGTTTAAAAATGAAAATCAGGTTGACGTCAGAACCCAACGTCAGGCTGATGTCAATGTCCGACATCCGACAGACGTTGCATTTTAGTTTCAACACAAATATCAACCTCTAATAATGTTACAGCTTGATTTTGTGTGGACGTTACCAATATGACGTCTATCAGACATTGGATTTTGATTGCCATACCTAAGGAATTATTGTCAGTTTTTGAAGTCAATCTGACATTGGTTTAAGACACAGGTGTCATTTCCAGTTCCTGGAGGGCCGCAGCTCTGCAGAGTTTAGTTCCAACCCTGCTTCAACACACTTACCTGTAGGTTCCAAACACGCTTGAAGGACTCAATTAGTTTGATCGGGTGTGTTTAATTAGAGTTTAAGCTAAATTGTGCAGAGCTGCAGCCCTCCAGGAACTGGATTTAACACCCTTGGTTAAGATGTTGATCTAATGTTGGATTTTGGTCAATTTCCAACCCTACCTAAAATCAACCAAAGATCAATGTCATTTCATGTCAAATTTGGATGCCAAAATAACATATTCCTTAGACGCTGGCAACCTAAATCTAACCTATTATTAATGTCATATGACGTTGTGTGGCTGCCTAGATCTGTAGACTTACATTTGAGAAAATAACCATGGCTATATACAAATATGTGTCCCTTGTAAGTGAAATACAGTACACGAGAACACAGTACACAGCATAGCACAGCACAACACTGGTACTGTAGGTAACATGGCAAATGTACTTTTGGACCACATTCATATTAAACATTCATACTCTACAGAGCAGCCGTTTTCAACTTTAAGTCTGCTTTTCTGAAGAGTTTTGCTCCAATTAAATTTATAGTAATTCTAAAGATTACTTGAACTGGATCGAGTATGTCTGATTAGGGTTGTAGCTAAATTGGGAAGGTACAAGTTGACAACCCATGATCCTTAATAATTTTTTATAGTAAGTATTAAGTGAATTCAGGTTTATAGCGCTTTTACAATGTGGACTGTGTCTAACCTGCTAACATAGAAGTTCTATGAAAATCCAGTTTTCAGAGTTTAGTTTAGTTCAGTTCAGTGTGGTTTAAATTTCATTGCTGAATGTTCAAACAATGGAGAGCAAATCCATTAATGTGCAGCTCTACAAGTCCCAAACCAAGCAAACCAGTGGTGACAGTGGCAAGGAAAAAACCTTCGCCAACTGACAAAGTGAAGGAAAAGAAACTCAAAAGAAAGCAGGCTCTGTTGGGCACACCACTTTTTTTCCTGGCACTTAAAGTACTTAACCCAGGGATGCACCTGGAGGGCCACTGCCCAATAGAGTTTAGTCTCAAACCTAATTAAATGCATACGATCAACCTAATCAAGTCCCAAAGCAGGGTTGGCCAACTCTGACCCTGAAGGGCCGCCGTCCTGCAGAGCTCAGCTCAATCCCTAACTAAACACACCTAAAAAAAAAAAAAAAAAATATATATATATATATATATATATATATATATATATATATATATATATATAAATAACAAATGCTTTTAAGATTGATTCACAAGTATAGACAGACAAGAAAGTTCGATTAGGGCTAAACCGCTTAATCAGGGGTGTCAAAACTTGCTGAGTTTAGTAAATAAAGGTTATTGCCCATCCAGGACCACAGTTGCTCACCTCTGTCCTAGTAAAGGCTTTTTTGAAACCTGCACAATGGAGATCAGCTCTGATCTGGACACTGCACCCCTGACTTCCTCTTATTGATGTATGAAATTAGGTGCAACAAGTGTTTATTGGGTAGAGGTGAATCAAGTTAGATCCCAATGTCAGCAGAGTTAAAGTCCATGTGGATAACATTTGCTGTGTCTATCTTTGAAGGCTTATTCCAAAGGATCAGAAAAAAGGCATACAATAATTTAACAAGGTAATAAAAGTGCATTTTATAATGATTACTTTTCTGAAATGAGAAAATCTCGCATGTATACATGTTTAAAGCCAACAAATGCAACCTCCGAAGGTAACAGCCGTCGAAATAAGACAGAACCACAAAGCATGTTTATTCATTATTACACAGAGTACCAGACACCCTTGGCCATGTGTGCTGTTTTAGTTATATAGCCAAGCTATTTTTAGACAAACAAAAACTTAGAAATGGCAAAACCCAGAAAATGAAAAAGACTAGCAAAACTTGGAGATAGTAGTGATGGAGACAGCAAGAGGGGCCAAACGAGTGCATGAGTACATTCCGACGCACTGCAGATTGGACAGCGCACACCCGGCCAATGATATGTTGATGGATATAAAGAGGTCATGGCCTAGTCCCCATCCGCCACCCTCCCTTGGCACCCCCAGCCCTCTCACACACACACTGCTTTGTGCGGAGTGAGAGAATGTGACCTGGTTCCCATCCCTGAGGAGCTGTGTTAATGACAACCTCTTCAGACAACATTGAGCATCCCTTTCGCCTCCCCCACCAGCTGTCCCTCTCAGCCGCACCACCTCAGCAAGGCGCAGCCTGCAGATGGGCTGCGCAGAGTCCGTCCAGCCATCCTCCGGAATCGTGCAAACAGGTCCTTGCTTTTCCACATGGCGGCAAACATACCCATCACAGACAAATGCAAGGACATTCATGTAGAACCAATGCCGTCCCATGCAACAAGTCCAAGGTGCGCAAGTGAGAGCGTGCGTTCCAATACATGCATATGTGTGCTTGTGTGTCTTCATCAGAGGCGACAGCTCAGTACAATGGGACAAAGAATCTGTCAATCACAATCAAAAGGGAAATGGAAGGCAGTCCAGAGGGGGAGGAAGGGGCCGCTGTGTGTCCCGAATCTTTGGACGGGATGTGGGCCATGGAGCGCAGGGGGTTGGGGAGTGCTGCGGACTTGTGGGATGTGTCTGATTTTGGAAAACGAGAGCATTCAATAGGGGACCTCTTTACTAATTGAGCGATTGCAAGAGTTACAAATCTCGTTAAACAAGACCTTTATTCTTATCGGGCTATTGTGGAGTCGCAAAGCACTTATGACATAATCAGCTGCAGTATTGTCTTGCAAGGGTTCGGACTGAGCTATGGGAACAGCTCGCAACTTTCACATGAGCAAAACAACAGCAAGTTCAATCGTACATATTTCAGAGCAGGCGTCGTTTGTATGCCTGAGATGTTTGAGACTTGGAACAGTGAGAGTGCGTAGGCTATTATCTTTGGCGTGCTGGTTGTCTGACACATTCCGGCAACATCTGGTCTGTCCATAGCCTGGGTCGTCTCTGGTTCAGCCCTAAAACAAGCTCAGCCTGCCGGGGAGAGGCACAAATTGTCTGAAGGTCGTCTGCAAGTCTCTGGCCTCAGGAGCTCTGCAAGAACAGCAGTCGTCTAGACGCTCTCATCATGCTCATCTCAGGAGACTGCTCTTTTGAAGGGCCGCTGGAGAAATGAAAGGCCGCCAGTGTGGTGTGGGCTGTGCCCAGATGCTGACGGATCAATAACCAGTTCATGTTTTCATTAAGGTTGTCTTACAGGTGGTTTCCTGATGCTGCTATTGTGATGCGGCAGTCTCTATTTAGCCATTATACCAAAAAGTAGGCTAAAGTTGGCGTTTTCATTAAAAAAATAGGGGAGGGATGACATGTTGCAAATTGGAGTACTTTGAGGTCTGAAAGTTTGAGACTACTAGTAAAATACACTATTTTCTCTTTTAAAAATGTATTCTATTGTTAAAGGTTCAACTAAAATATTACTATACATGTCAGAATTTTTATTTGGTTTAATCTCCTCTTGATTTAATGACGGCAACACAGTAACTCTAATGTTGGAGTAAAACCTGGCGGTTGAGTTATAGCATAATTTGAGAATGATTCCTAGGGTAACTTGAGTTTCAAAGGTGTTCGAAATTTGTGATCAACATTACAAATTTATCATTCATTCATTTTCTTTCAGCTTAGTCCCTTTATTCGGCCAACTTATCCAGCATGTGTTTTACAAAGCAGATGGCCTTCTAGCTGCAACCCAGTACTAGGAAACATTCAAACACTCTCAGACAGGCTGTTTCTCAATATACGTTCTTCAGGGGTCTTGCGTCCTCGTGTTCTTGTGTAACTTCATCATCAGCTGCCAAGGTTCAGTTTAAATACTTAAGACCGCAAGAACGGAGGATGCGTGAAACTTCCCGGATGTGTTCTTGGTATTGAGGACGCACCGATGCAGACTTGAGCTCCGATCTCGCTCTAGAAGTCCCAGAAGTCATTGCGACTGGAGGTGGGAATCGCAGCATTTTATTTAGATTTATTGTTAAAGTTCAGAGATATCACTTATTTATCTCAGGAGTTTCCCTAAATGAATATTCCCTCTGAATCTCTTCCCTAAGTGAATATAAACATTACTATGGACATCTTAATAACGGAATAAACACATTAAGGGTGTTTGTTTGCTGAAATTCATCTGTTTTATTTATATTGTGCAACGTATATTTATAATGTTTTTATGCATAATATATATTTTGAAAAGGGGAAAACAAAAAATGGTTGTATGAATGCTGTAATGTTTATATAATTTTTCATTTAAAACATGTGAAGGTCATGTAACCCTCAGGAAC